GTTCAAAGGTTCCAAACAGTGAGCTAGCTTTAATGTGTTTCGTTAGTTAAAGTGAAAGGATTTGTGGAACTGGAGTCAGGAAAAATCAACGGGTGAATTTTTCCTCACGTTTTCCCCAATTTTCTAGCAATACCTGTTAAACACACTCCTAGTTGAAGGTTGGTTGTGACTTTTCCGAAAAACTTTGCCTGATAGCTCATAGGAAAGGCAGTGAATTGGTTCGTGGAGACGTGTTAGCTTTGCCCTTCAAAGATGAATCAGCTGACGCCGTGCTTTCTATAGCTGTTATTCACCACCTAAGTACGGAGAACAGAAGGTGAAGATGAATTTTTTTTTTTTGCAGTATATTGATTTAGGCGGAGTTCTTCATATGTTTAGTTAGACATCGATTTTGTAATTAGAGCCGTTTTCCTCAACTGTGGCTCTGTTCTAACCAGGTCTGCAACATAAATTCTTGCATTTTTGACAAGTCTCTTCTTTTATGGACACTAGTTGATAATTTTACGTGTGACGTTTCTTGCTTAGGATAGCTGCAGTAAAAGAAATATTACGGTGTTTACGACCGGGCGGCAGAGCTTGCATAACAGTGTGGTCAATGGAACAAAAACTGCGCGGGTCAACTTCTGAATATTTTAAGATGCGCAGTAATAAGCGGGATGTTCAAGTTAATAAGACTTGCATTGTCTTAATAGCATTTTAAAAAAATGACCCAATAGCAGCTTGCTGAACGCCTGTAATAACTTTAGAAAAATCGCTGGGATAGTGGTGGACGTTTACGGGTACACGAGGGCAGAAATTTCACACAGCAGGACATGCTGGTGCCGTTTCAGGGCAGTGACCAGAGACAATTTTTGAGGTAGCACTTTGAATTTATACGGTGCTACGTTTAACTGCTCATTTCCCCTTTTTGAACGTCAAAAATCCCTCTGACTTCTTAAAATATCAGTGGTTACTGTAGCTCTGTATTCTTTTTAATGTTTCAAAAGCAACTGTTTCTTTTCAGGTATTATCATCTTTTTGTAGCTGAGGAGTTGGAAAGGACGGTGAGCTCTGTCAGGTCTTGTGAAGTTGAAAAAAGTATGTATGAACAAGGAAATTGGATAGTAATTGTTAAGAAGCTGTAAAGCGATAGTTGCGAAGAGTCTGGCTCTTGACTGTGATTTAAACAAAACTGCTAGTGGTTTATTTCCTGAAAAAATTGAGAAAGACGGTCATAGGACTGCGAAGAGTACAGAATAAAGTTCATTTTGTTTGATATCTCAGACACAGTGTGTCGTGTGTAAACGACACGTTCACGTAGCGGTCACGCCGAAGCAAATGCTTACTCTAGGTTTATGGTATGGAAAATGCTGAGCTACTCCGCGAAGTATGGAAGTAATGTTCCGTACAATCTTGGCTCTCGTTCTGCAGGTTAAATCTGGGAAAAACTTCGAGGATAAGCTGCTAATTGTTTCTATCCGCTTTTTTGAAAATATTGTTAGTCATTCAGTTCCTTAATCAAATATAGCTGTGCAAGCCATTCTCGTGCTTATTAAAAGCAGTGACATCATGGGATCTCATTACGTAGCTAGCTTGACCCTCTTATAACAGATAGGTTCCTCTCCAGATCGTAGATGGTTATCAGTATATTTGAGGGCAGATAGCCGTTGCTGCAATACTTTCAGGAACAGATAGGAAGGGTACTTGCAGGTTGTAGTAGCCGGGTAAATTTGACGTGTGAAGCTGCTGAATGCGCGTCACTGAAACGTTTATTTCAAAGTCTTACAATATATGGCTTTCTTTTTCACTCTTTCCATTAAAGATGATGCTCAGATTCTGCTTCTTCA